CAATATGCGTTTTTGCTGCCTGTTGCAGCGCTCTAGCGCTGCACGGCAAAAACGCATAAAAAACGATGACCAGAACTACGTATGAAGAGATGGCTGATACAATGTTGGTGAGTGATGAAATGTGCAGATGTGAATACATAACGATGAGGACTGCAACATGCTGACGCTGTGTTTACGAAATCGCAGTTGTGAATGCAGCTAGAAACCGAGCATCTCTGACGTAGTGTTTATTTTGTTTTAACAAAAAAAAAAAAAGAAAAAATTGCAAGATGTTTTTTGATCAACAAACCGTTTCTAGAAAAAAAGGATGTCCGGAAAATCGGCCATATCAGAAAAAAAAAAACCATATAAAAAGAATGAGGGGAAATGTCTAACTAGTAGTGAATTCGTTGCCAATCACCAGTCACAATGGTCATCGTGCCATCCTGTTAGTTAGGCTTTCGTAATTAAATCAATAATAAACAGATTCTACTCTATCCTGAAAAAACGTAAGTTTTATTAAAAAAAGTAAACAAAAGTTTACCATTTCAGCGACGTAAAACTATATTTCCACGCAGATAACCCCGGTTCGATATCCTGCAGAGTTCGACTATCGTGAGATTATATGTAGGTTCGTTTAAAAAACAGACCCAAATCCAATTCCAGGACACCAGTAGATAAGAGATTGGCCTGCCCAGTTCCGGATGGCCGACGAATTATTTGGGAGCCCTTTTATGGTGTTTCAGCGCTTGGTGTCTCCGCGGATTCACCACTGCTTCAGGAAAGTTAGGTCTTCCGTCCACCCCGCAACTACATGTTTGGTCAAAGCAACTGGAAAAGTTACCAGCTAAATAGTTGGTGATCTTTTGCTTTCAAATCCTAATTATAAAGATTTCCTGGAGCCAATTTTGGAAAAAACTCACAGATATAAACAGGCCACCGCAAAATGATTCCTCATACCATGAGGCAAGTATCTCAATTTAATACACAAAAACTGCACCTGATCCCTCCCGCTCGTAACTCCAAAAAAGTCATAAATCCAGACATTTGAAGTGCAAGAATTTTACATTTACTGATTTCACTGGAATTAAATTTTGATGATTTTTACTCCCCTCCACCCTTTAATCCCGAGCTGCCCTTTATTTAGGATTATAAACATTAATCCCTGGATTACAAATGGATTTTATAATAAATCGAATTTCATTACATTCTATTTGGTATTCACACTGACTCAATCGTACACTTCATCGGTATTTCAAACGGAATGCCGGCTATGGAAGGCGAAACACAATCGTGACAGTTTTATTCCTCATCACATAATATCAGTGATAAAAGAAAAGCTTGACAAGGTCAAGCTTCCACTCTCTCCATAAAATACCCAAATCCTACATGACCTGTTGGTAAAGAGCGTGATATCGAACCAAAACCGCCTTTAGCTTACTCTTAGACAGCTCTCGAAGTGTTCTTCAACAGTCCTCTCAGTCACTTGTTGCTGTTGACAAATGCTACCGCTCGAACCACTTTCAAGTGTCACCGCTCTTTCTAGAAAATGGGTACGAGGGCGACGAGACAATACCGTAAAATTTCAGCTTTCTAGCTTTCGCAGTTCCCAAGAAAATAATTTTCCTCGCCAAAGCTTTCACGCGGCTGTACTTGTTACTCTTGGGCCCTGGAAAGCTGAATTTCAATTTACGAGGTAGTGGACGAGGAACATTACACCAAAACTGTTGAAAAAACTAAAATTTCAACTTTCTACTTTTCGTTGTTGAAAAATTATTAACAACGAAATGTAGGAAGTTAAAATTTTAATGCAACGTTATTGAAAGTGTGAGACAAAATGCACACACACACACGCACGCACACACAAATATACACACTCGCACGCACATACACATACATACATACATACACACACACACACACACACACACAAAGACAGGGCGTGACAATGTGCGTTTTGTGCTGCTGATACGCAGTAAAAAACAGATAAAAATTGTTTGCGATGACAAATACAAAGCAGGAGCGGACAAAAAGTGGAAAAATGGACAACGATATGCGAATACCCACAAATCCATATGACAAGGCCACACGAACAGAGAAAGTACTTGTAGCTACCACTTGCTTCGATGACGCAATCATCGGCAGAAAGTACACGGCCAGTCCCATGCCTGCCACTGAAAGGCATATACATTTCCTTCAGAATGTCTACTGCTGAGCTTCGTTCACTGGAGCAACAAAGCTAAACCACTAAATTCGCTTTTCCAGGGAGAATAGCCAAAATTACATTTCCGTAATGAACGACCCCGATCAAACACTAAAGCTTAACAATTTCCGCTGAGAAACTGCTTTGTTATGCAAAACAGCCATTTCTATTGGCACTGCAACGACACCAGCTAAGGAAAGGGAAAAAAAGCGAAAATATGTAAAAGAATACAATGAGTTACAAAAAAATTTAAGCTGAGAAGCGAAAGTATAGGCCGAATAAAACTAAGGGTGCAATGTCTTAGCAAAAAATGTAAGGTCTAGGAAGACAAAAGTAACGATATATCGTGAAGGAAGATGTGAGTATGCAGTCTGTATTTCATCCCTTAGCTGCAAGCTGAGTGAGAAAAAAATTACTTTTTTTGAGAGATACCATTCCAATTAAGGAAAACCAAACTGAGCGGCGCCCCGTCCACTTTCATCAGGAGCTACGTAATCCGCTGAACACCATAATCTACTCAAACTGCTTCATGATTATCATGAATTCAGTAGAATACTGATATCAGCAACACCAATAACAAGGCAAGCAACACATAAAGGAAGTGTTTTTTTTAAAAAAATGTCAACAAATTGGACGGCCGAATGGTACTCGTACAATATTTGAACACAGAGGCGGCCGCCAGTGCGGTACAAACACTCGCATGAACAATTCTGTGGGATTATGCCGATGAGAGAGGGCTAAGATAAAGGAAAACGAGAAATTGTTAGCTGCAGCACTTACGGTAAGACGAGGTAACAACTGATGAAATTTAAATAAATTTTACTACCAAAACAATTAACGTGGTAACATTGAATCTTCTAAATTTTCTTCTTCAACTCCTCCCAAATGAATTTTCTCGATTTTTGGCGCAGTTTCGAGGTCCGCTCCTCCAACCTCACATACTTTGACTTCCGTCGTGCTCAGCTTCTCCAATCCTTCAGCTGCCTCTTTTGCCAAAGCTTCTGCCTGAATTTGATATTTGCTGAGAGAACTCAATAAAGTCATCTAGTGATATACTTCATCTTCCAGTTGCGCAAAAACGCTTATTTTTCTTTCCCTTCATTTCTTACCCATTCTTTACGCCTCAAACAAATTCAGAGCGTCCCTGTCACTGACTGTCACTCTACTAATTTTGCTTCCGAAAACGTCTTTAACTCGGAGTAATAAGGCGCACAAAAAATGCTTTACAATTCAAGTTCACAGTCTCAGTCACCATCTTTCCTACCTCCCGTTACTTTTACAAAAAAACTCGTGGAAGATTAAAAAAAGTTTACAGCAAGGCCGGCCTAAATTAGTGTAAAATGTGTACCTTATCTTTCAATACTTTATCATACATTGGACGATAAACATCGAAATACTGTTGTATGCAATCTTTGGCTCGTTTTAAAAAATCATCGATCCCTTCTCCCGTCAACGAAGACACTAAAACAATTCATTTTTCATCAATAAAGCACCATTTCC